CCATTCCCTGGTGAGCATAGCTTACTTGTGTTTGTTGCCTTCTCCGCCCCTCCACCCCCTCCACCCTCCCCACTCCCATATATCTACCCACTGTTTGACTAAAAATTGGGCCATGAGGGTGAGTTCCTTTCTAGACTTGAAGGCTGGTCAAGGGTCCTAGTCTCAGGTTCCTCCAGTCTCTGTCCAGTAAGCCCTGTTGAGTTTTGGGGTTTTTTATTATTAATAATTTTGAGTTTTGTTCCATATTTTCTCCCACTGTATCTGGGATTTTCTAATGGGATGAACTGCAGGAGGAAGACACAATGTTTGGTGAAGCTGAGAGCAAGCGAGGGCGCCAGAGACCCTCATTGAGGCGAATTGTCACAATAGCTGCATCAGTGGACTTGAACATGCCATGGATTGTGAGGACACAGGGCCAAGCAACATTTGCTTCTGTGGTAAAAGGGGTCTCCAAGAGCAGGAATGTACTCCATAGCAGCTAACAGCAAGAATTATCATAGAGAGGGAAGTGGGAGTTCTTGGGACTCTGACCTCAGTTGGTCCTGCTCTTTGTTCCGCTGATCGCCTGGGGCTGACAGGTGCCTGATCAGGTGCCTGGAGGAAGGACTGGAGGTCACCGCCCAGAGAGTCAAGTGAGGGGTCCAACCACTGTGTCTCACTCACTGCTACCACCAGGGGTCGCCCCAGCCTGCACACTCAGAGGCTGCCCATAGACTTGGAGGCTGGAGTGGGAAGAAATCTGAGATCCCCTAAAAAATGTTCGAAATGCAGATCCTTCTCCAGGAGGTATCCAGAGCTGGAAGCCTGGAGCCCTGACTGGAACTAGGAAGGGGCTCCGGAAACCATCTCACCATGGCTGTGGGGTCCCAGGGCTGATCTGTGTAAAGGGCTGGGCTCAGGAGGAAATGGGTCCTATATGGTTACTATTATTGTACTGACTTAGGAGTTCTGGTGTGGTGCTGCAGGATAATGCGCTGCTCTGCAAGGTCAGTTTGAACTGCAACTGATAATGGGGTGATTATGGGGAGGGAACCATAGCAGGTATGTAAGTAAGAAAGGTACCATTGGATCTGGTGTCAGAGTAATGGCAAAGGCTGGAAACTGTGAGCCCCAGGGAGGCCAAAGAAGTAGGTGAGGAAGAATTCTAGGCTAACATGGGAAGAACCAGCCTAGACCCTGGTCTGCCCCGTGGCTACCTCGCCATCCAGGGACCTGTCTCTTAGATTCTACAAGGTGACCCCTGACCTTTTCTTACTCTGCTCTGTCTCCCCATCGCTGATTCTCTCATCTCTGCTCTGGCTGCCCTCATCCATGATCCCTACAGTTCTCTTCTGGGCAGGGACAGAGATGAGAAGTTTAGAGCAGCTATTGGGGGAGGTGAGCACCTGGGACACCGCCCGCCCACCAGTCCCAGGCAAGAAAATGGACCCATTTTTCATCCAGGAACACAAAGGCCCAAAGAGGACAGTTTGCCTACCCAAAGGGCTTTCTTTGCCTCCTCTATTCCCTCTGTAAACACAAAACACAATTTCACTTCAATATAATGAAAAACCAAATTTTGGTTTGTTGTTGTTAAATGCCATCCAGTTCACAGGAGCAGCTGGTGAATTTGAACCACTGACCTTGTGATTGGCAGCCCAGCGCTTATCCATACCAGGTCTCCAAAAACCAAATACACAGATATAAAAGCAGACAGTTTTCAGAACTTCACCATAGGTTTTCTTCACTAGAAATATGATTTCCTCAAACGTTTTCCCAAAGTGCTTTCTGTGAGACTTCTTCTAAGTCCTCATAGCTCCACAGACTTGGGTTTCCGCTTCCAGGTAGTGACAGAGACATCTCCTTCACGACAGTTTTCCTTCTTGACACAAACAAACAAAATTAAACTGAAACACTTAAAAAAAAAAAAAAAAAAAAGTCAAGCGTCAAGGCCTGATTTTGTGATGACCCTCCAAAGGAATTCAAAGAGATCCATGTGTGAAATTTCCTGTGAACATGACAAATAGTTTTCAGGAAAAAAACCAAAGTGCACATAAGGGGGAACTGACCAGGGCCAACACGTTTAACCTCACGTGAATCCATGGGCCAGTCACTTGCCCCCGCCCTGTGGAATTATCTGGCCGGAGACATGGACAGAATGTTTACAGAAAGCCTGATTTTAGGGATTTTAGTCACTATTGGCTAGCTGCCCATGGAGGCAATTTCTTTGGAAGATATATTGGTGATAGCTGGGACTCAGTGATTTTATTTCTATGGATTTAACTTCAAATCTGTTTAATCTGTAGAAAACAGAACAAAAACATTGGGCACAATATAAATGTTCACTGCTAGATGTTATGGTAATGTACATGAAGAAAACTTAACTAGACAGCAAAAGAAATCAACACATCTCAAACATGTAATGTGGTGCAAAAAAGAACAAACTTCATCATTACCTTTTCCATTAAAATAAGTTATATTAAAAAGGAAACATTACAAAGGAAAGATAGGACATCAAATCAACAAAAAAGAAACAGAACAATGTTTTTGACCTTGAAATCAACTACTTTGACTGGCTCACTCACTGCCTTCAAGTCGATTTCGACTCAGTGATGTATGTTGTTGTTGTTATGTGCTAAGGAGTCAGTTCTGACCCATAGCGACCCTGTACAGGGTTTCCGAGGCTGTAAATCTTTACGGGAACAGAAAGCCTCATCTTTCTCCCACACAGCAGCTGGTAGTTTCGAACTGCCAGCCTCGTGGTTAGCAGCCTGATTCGTAACCATTACGCTACCAAAGCTCCTTCGTATAGTGTTTTGTTGTTGTTGTTAAGTGCTGTCGAGTCGGTTCTGACCCATAGCGACCCTGTTCAGTGTTTCCGAGGCTGTAAATCTTTACGGGAGCAGAAAGCTTCATCTTTCTCCCACGGAACAGCTGGTAGTTTTGAACATTTGACCTTGCAGTTTGTAGCCCGATTTGTAACCACTATGCTACCAGAGATCCTTACAGTGACGTATGTTGTTGTTGTTGTTGTTGTTGTTATGTGCTGTGGAGTCGGTTCTGACTTATAGCGACCCTGTACAGGGTTTCCGAGGATGTAAATCTTTACAGGAGCAGAAAGCCTCATCTTTCTCCCACAGAACTGCTAGTAGTTTTGAACTGCTGACCTTGAGATTAGCAGCCCGATTCATAACCACTACGCTACATATAGAACATGGTAAAACTGCTCCAGAGGGTTTCTGAGGTTATAAATTTCCATTTGCCTCATCTTTCTAGCTGGTCGATTCAAACAGCCAACCTTTTGGTTGGCAGATCATGCTTAACCCATGGTGCCACCAGTGCTCTTCAAATTACATTGCCGTTACCTTAGCTACCATGAAGTCAGTTCCAATTCATAGAACCCTGTGCACATCAGAATGAGATGCTGCCCAGCCCTGCGCCATCCTCACAACTGATATTTTCAGCCCATAGTTGCTGCCACTGTGTCAACCCATCTTATTGAGGGGAGGGTCTTCTGCTTTTCTGCTGACCCTCCACTTTACCAAGCATGATATCCTTCAAGTCCTTGTGGCCAACTCCACTTGCAGAGGGCAGCTCTTTCCGAATCCTATTTTGAGTGCCTTTCAACCTGAGGGGCTCACTCCACTCCTGGCTCTTGGCTCTTGGTGGTAGCAGGTCTCTCTCTCTGCTTGCTTCTCTCTCCTTTTATATCTCAAAGGAGATTGACTCAAGATACAATCTAATCATGTAGATTACATTCAACCTCATTAACATTATTTTTGTTGCAGTTTGTTAATTGCTTTTGAGTTGGTTCTGACTGGTAGCAATCCTATACAGAGTTTCCATTAGCATCATAGAAGTGAGGATTTATAACACATAGAATTAGATCAGATGGGGTTGATTGCATCATATTAGATCTCATCTTGGAGTTGATACTGCATCTTAACTGCTAACTCATTGAGAATCCTGGCCAAAACACAAAACCTCAACTATCTGCTTGGCCTAAGGTACCCATTTGATTGTCTGGGGCTTCATGTTTGCCTTTCTTTTTCCTTGTTAACAAGCATTATATTCATACATACATATGTGCACTACCTTCAATGCGTCATGAAAAATAGTGTTATTCACTAGAATACTATATTAACAGTGTATCCATGCCATAACAAAGTATCACAAAGTAGGTGGCTTAAAACAACAGAAACGTATTTTTTCACAGTTCTAGGGGCCAGATGTCTGAAACTGTGGTATTAGTATATTGGCTCTTCTTCAAGTTTCTGAAGGAGAATCTGTCCCAAGCTTATTTACTAGCTTCTGATGATGATCAGCAATCCTTGGTTTGTAGACACAGTTTACTCATCACAAATACCCAGGATCTAAAGTACACACCAAGACTATTTCACCTCTCAGCATTTGCTCAGGCACTGCCCATACCTAAGTTCCTTTGGTGGACTCTTGTCCCCCAGGCTCTCTCCACCCCTTACCCTGGCAATCCCAGGCCCAGTCCCTTCCATCTTAAAAACATAATAATAATGACAAATTGAAAACCGCCATTTATTAAGGCTCGTGTGTGTGTGTGTGTGTGTGTGTGTTAAGTGCTTCACAACAAGCAATGGTACCTCCATTTTAGACAGGAGAGAGCTGAGAATCAGAGAGGGCAAGTCACTGGTCCAGGGTCACACAGCTAGTAAGTGGCACAACCAGAACCAGAACTCTGGCGTCCTAAATTGTAACCGGCTACACACTCTGCCTACCTTAACTATACTCTCTGCCTACCTTGACCTCCCACTCGGCTCTAGGGGCTCTGGGTGGGCCTGGCCAACCTAGATAAACAGCTGGTTGGGCACTAGATGCAGTCCCCAACACTCCCCACCCCACCCCCTTGAGCCGACAAGGGTCTGAAATCAGGAATCACCAGGGTAGCTGCAAAGGCCAAAGGTCTGACAGTGGTTTCCTGCCTCCCCCTGGGAACTTCCTCCTTCTCAGCTCAATTCCTCCTCCCTCTTCACCCCCCCCCCTTGTAGATCACCACCCTGGAGGACCCCTCCCCTGTCAACTAAGCCCCCACTACCTCACCCTGGCTCATGGAGGGAGGGGTCCCCAAGCTCTGGCCTTCATTTCTCTGTCTCCCACAGTGGACAGCAATTGTACTATTGTCATCCAGGAACCAGCCTTCTCCCCAGTTTCATACCATCAACCCAGCCCAGACCTGATCCCCTGAGGCTAGGAGTGTTGGTATCACACTCTGTCTTCCCAAGACTTGGAGACCCCTCGGGCCAAGCCTAGGGAAGACACCTCTAGGGGTGCCAAGGGATCACCCAGCACAGAGAAGAGAACCCCAGGGAGACTCTGGAGGGCAGGGGACACACCCAGAATCCTTTGCTCCTGGATCCTGAAATCCCCTCCATACCCAGAACACAGGAAGCTGGACCCTACCCTTGTTGTTAAGTGCGCTTGAGTCGGTTCACACGAGTCGGTTCCCACCCATAGTGACCCTGTATAGGGTTTCCAAGGAGCAGGTGGTGAACTTGAACCGCCGACCTTGTGATTGAAACTGACTTTTTCAGTCTGATGCGTTAGCCCACAGTGCCACACCAGGCCCCCAACCTAGCCACTTTCTAAAATCACCATCTCACTGAGCCCCCAATCATGCTGTGGGGTAATACTAATAGTAACACTGACAGCCAATAATAATAATACAGCCAGCCCCTTCTTGTGAGCCTCACCACAGCCTTGCATATTCAAGAGGGGGAAGCTGAGGCACAGAGGAAGCTTGCCTGAGCTCACACTGGCTGAGCCTGTAAATCCAGCGCTCCTTCTAGTCTCCGAAGCACTTATGAAGTGCCACCGTGAGTGGAACATTGGGGGGGGTGGTGACAGAGTTTGGGGATGTAGCACTACTGCCCTCGTGGAGCTGTTCCTTGTTTATAAGGAGCTCATAAGTGCAATGACTGAGAGCCTACTGTGAGTCCTGCTGTGGCACTGTGGGGTAACGCGCTGCACTGTAAAGTCACATAGAACTGCAAGGTTAGCGGTTCAAATTCACCAACTGCTCCTCCGAAACCCTATTCAGGGTCAGTATGCCATCTCACAATAATAACTGCGTACCCAGCCCTGGGTTAAGTCCTTCCTAAGTTTTAGCTCATTTAACCATGCTGTGAAGTGGGATACACACTCCACCAGCCTACAGGGGTTAAATTCCAGGTCTTCAAACCCAGAGACTCAGGGCAAGTCCTTCCACGCTCCTGTGCCTCAGTTTCCTCCTTGGCACAATGGGGACAACAGACCTGGACCAGTTACTGCCGAGTCGACCCCAACTCATGGTGATTCCATGTGTGTCAGAGTAGAACTGTGCTCCACATGGTTTCCAATGGCTGTCTCTTCAGAAGTAAATTGCCAGGCCTTTCTTTCACAGCACCTCTGGATGGATTCAAACCTCCAACCTTTCCAATAGCAGACAAGCACATTAATCTTTTGTGCCACCTAGGAATGCAAACAGGTCTAAGGATATTAAATGAGATCCTACACTTAACAATAACAACACATCTTGTTGTGCTGAGAACAGGGTCACAGAGCAAGGACACGGAAAACTGAGGCTCAGGGAGGTGTGCCACCCGCCCAGCTGTGCCTGGCCACCTCAACAGTCCTGGTGGGAGTGTTGTGATAACCCGCAGCCCCCGTTTCCTCCTGGTCAGGAAGGAGCCAAGCAGAGGAAGTATTAAAAGGAGTAATATAAACACTTCCCCCGACGGCAGTGTCAGGAGGGGCTCACGCTGTGCCCAGAGCAGACTAGGCGGCTGAGAGGTGCAGATGGGCCTGGCCATGGAGCGTGGAGGGCCATACTCACGGGGGCTGCACAAGACGGGGGTCAGTGAGCGGGGTTGCTGGTATTACCTGCGCTACTTCTTCCTCTTCATCTCCCTCATCCAATTCCTCATCATCCTGGGCCTAGTGCTCTTCATGGTGTATGGCAATGTGCATGGTGGCACCGAGACCAACCTGCAGGCTACCGAGCGACGGGCTGACATCCTCTACGGTCAGGTCATGATGTTCAAGACCTCCCATGACAACCTAACCAAGGAGCTCAACCTCACTGCCAGCGCCAAGGACTCCATAATGCAGAGGCTGCTGAACGCCCGCCGTGACCTGGACCGCATCAACGCCAGCTTCCGCCAGTGCCAGGCAGACCTGGTAAGGAGCCTGGGTGGTCTCACATCACTTCTCAGAGCCTCTGGGTTCTTGTCTGTAAGACAAGGGCTCTCACAGACCCTACATTTTACCTGAGGAGACCTTATTGTTAAACAACGAGAAATTTTGGGGGTGGGGGGGATGGTAAGGCTTTTTTTTACTCAGTATATTGTGTGTATTTATTATTGTGTTTTAAGTGAAAGTTTACAGAGCAAATTAGCTTTTCATTCAACAATTTTTACACGTTTTTATTTCATAGCAATAGTTGCAATTACTAGAAATGTGTTTAGGATAAATATCTCCATGAAATTTGGGGGCTATAATTATCCTAAAAAAGGACTCTTTGTTTATCTGAAATCCACATTTACGTGGATGTCCTGTATGTGAACTGGGCAGCTCAAGCCCATGACCTATACCTATAAAAAGCTCAACCTGAGTCCACACAGAGTTTCTTAGGAAGTCATTTTTATGGTACCAGATCACCAGGTCTTTATTCCTCAGAAACCCTGGCGGGTTCCAATCACTGACCTTTCAGTTAGCACCGGGGCGCCTCATAGCAACCATGTTGTTGTTTTTAAGTGCCATTGAGTTGGTTTTGACTCATACCAAGGGCGGAGGTTCAAATTCAACAGCCACTCCTCTGAAACCTTATTCAGGGTCGCTATGAGTCGGAACCGACTCGAAAGCTTTTAACAACACCAATAGGGTTTCTGAGGAGTGGCTGGTGGTCTTGAACTGCCGACCTTGTGGCTTGCAGTCCAATGCAGATCCTACAGTGAATGACATCACGAGTCCATACATAGCTCCTGTTTCCACTGTAACAGTGTCTGCTTTATAAATGTATACACGACTACATTCTAGTCAAGAGGGAGACTTTTTAAACCATTTTAAATGGAGACCTGAACTGGGGGCTTTTCCTGGAGGTGATGGAAAAGGAGGGCCTGGGGGACAATTGAAGCTGCGAACCTGAGGATCATGTGGAAACCCCATTTTCTTGAGTTCCTGGTGTGTGGCAATGTACTTGACTGTTGCCCATGCTTTCACACACACTCTCCTCAGCAATAGTGAGAGAAGAGGACCATGGGAGTCTCCCCTCAGGCTGGGGCTGGAATTGAGGTGCTGGGGAGGACAGGGCTGAGAGATGATGTTGCGTGGGGAGTAGCAGTAGTTTCTTCCACAAGAGGAAAAGTCAGTGGGGGTCTCAGACCAACCAGCCCCACCACTAGGCAGGAGGCTCTGTGTCCTCCTTGGACCCTCAGGGTCCCCATCTGCCCCCTCAGACTCTTAGGATAGGGTTGTGCCTCCCCACCCCCACCACCAGGGACTCTGTCTCCCCACTTTAGACACCCCTCCGGCAGGACCCTCAGACTCCTCCAAGTCAGGGGCCTTGTCTCCTCCCTCAGATCCTCAGGGCAGCTCCTGTCTCTACATGTCTCCCTCCCCTAGACTTCCCTAGGGCCATCAGGTCTTTCCCCTCAGACCCCTGGGGCATGACTCTGTGTTCCCCCTCAAACTTTCAGAATGGGCACTTTGTCTTTCTCCTCAGACTCTGAAGGTGAGTTGTCATCTTCCCCCTCACTCTCAGGCTGGGACCTACCCACCCTCAGACTCTCAGGGTGGAAGCCATCTCCCCCGTCACACTATCAGGGTGGGT